CAATAAACCATTGCCAGATTCAATGTCATGAAGCTTTTGCCCTATGTTTTCTTTTAAGAGTTTTATAGTTTTAGATCTTATATTTAGGACTTTGATCCATTTTGATATAACTTTTGTATACAGTGTTAGGTAAAAGTCCAATTTCATTAGTTTGCCTGTGGATATGTACTTTCCCCAGTACCATTTGCTGAAAAGATTGCCCTTTCTCCCATTGAATGGTCTTGGCACCCTTGTTATTTCACCACATATGCAAGGGTTTACTTCTGAGCTCTCCATGCCACTCCACTGGTTTATATGTCTGTCTATAAGCTGGTCTCACACTGTTTTGATTACAATAGCTTTGTAGTAAGTTTTGAAATTAAGAAGTGTGAGCCTTCCAACTTTGTTCATCTTTTTCAGGAATGCATTGGCTATTTGGGGCTCCTTTGGATTCCATATGCATTTTAGGATTTTTTTTTTAAATTTCTGAAAAACCCTCATTGGGGTTTTAATAGGAATTGAATTGAATCTGCTGACTGCTTTGGGTACTAGTATTGACACCTAACAATATCAAGTCCTAATTCTAATCCATGATATGTATTTCCGTTTATTTATGTCTTCTTTAATTTTTTTCATCAAGTTTTGTTGCTTTCATTGTGTAAGTCTTTCACCTCTGATTATTTCTTAAGTATTTTATTCTTTTTCATGCTATTGTACATGGAATTGTTTTCATAATTTCCTTTTCAGATTGCTCAATCTTATTGTATAAAAAAGCTACTGTCTTTTTTGTGTTTACTTTGTATCCTCCTACTCTGATGAATTCATTTATTGGTTCTAACAGTTTTTGTGTGTGGAATCTTTAGGGTTTTCTATATATAAACTCCTATCATCTACAAACAGATATAATTTTACTTCTTCCTTTTCAGTTCCTTTTATTTCTTTTCCATGACTAATTGCTCTGGCTAGAATTCCCAGTACTATGCTGAATAGAAGTGGTGAAAGTGGGTATCCTTGCCTTGTTCCTGATTTTAAAAAAAAACCAAACATCCATTCTTTCAGCATTGAGTGTGATGTTTGCTATAGATTTTTCATATATGGCTTTTTAAATTTAAAGTCAATTTTGTCTGATATTAGTATACACACTTCTGCCCTCTTTAGGTTACTTTTTACAAGGAATATCGTTTCCCATCCTTTCACTTTCAATCTATTTGTGTCTTTGAACCTAAAGTGTGTCTCTTGCAGACAGCATATAATTGGTTCATGTGTTTTTATTCATTCTGCCAATCTCTGTCTTTTGGTTGAAGAGTTTAATCCACTTATATTTAAAGTAATTTCTGATAAGGACCAACTTACTCATACTTTTGTAATTTTGCTATTTGGTTTTTACGTGCCTTATAGCTTTATCTGTCGTCTTTCATTTCCTGCATTACTGTCTTCTTTCATGATTAGTTGATTTTTTTGTAGTGAAATGTTTAAATTCCTTTCTAATTTCCTTTTGTGTATATCCTATAGCTATTTTCTTTGTGGCTTATATTTCTTTGGGGATTATATTTAACATTCTAAATTTATAACATTCTACTTGGAACTTATACCAGCTTAACTTCAATAACATACAAAAACTCTGCTTATTTACAGCTCTATCTCCACCCCTTTGATGATTGATGTCACAAAATTACATCTTTATACATTGTGTACCCCAAAACATACATAATTCTTTTAAATGCTTTAGTCTCTTAAATTATGTGGAAAACAAAATGTGGAGTTACAAAGTTTTGTTACAATAATAGTAACTTTTATAATTGCCCAATATTTACTTGCATCGAGATATTTATTTCTTCATACAGCTTCCAGTTACTGTCTCATGTTCTTTCACCTTACCTTGCAGGACCCCCTTCAGCATTTCTTGCAGGGCATGTCTAGTGGTAATGAACTCCCTCAGCTTTTGTTTATCTGAGAATATCTGAATTTTGCCACCACTTTTGAAGGACAGTTTTGGTGGATTATAAGATTCTTGGTTGACAGTTTTTTTCTTTTAGCACTTTGAATATGTTGACCCATTGCATTTTNATATATATATATATGCATAGACATAAATATGCTTATATGTTAGAGATCAAATTCTATTTCAACACACCTGTTGTCTTCCTCCAGATTTATCCTGGATAATAGTCCTGATAACAGCGCCGGTAAACACACAACATCTGAAAAATGAACTGACGACATTGCAAAGGCCGATGGCTATTAAATCCTACAAAGAAATGGCAAACAATTTAGGCCCACTATTTGTGGAAGACTGCTGATTTAAGTTTGAACCAAAGGCATACTGTCTATTTCTTATGTGTAAGGATATGGTTGTTTATATCACTTCAAATAATGCTGAAATACGAGTATTCTTAGAACACAAGGATGGCAAATCTGATTTCTAGATTAAATTGAATCTTCATTTTAGCTAGTGATAATAAGGAAAGTGAAATCATTTCAAAATGAGAAAATGAAGCTTCTGCCTTGTTAGTGTTTTTCACAAGATCAGCAGGACTTAGAATGACTGAGGGAAACACAGTACTATTTTTCTCTCTGCCTTCTATACTATCCTAAAAGTCTAAGTGGGATACATTTTGCTTCCATATTTCCCTTTTGAAGTCCTGGGAAAAGGACCAAATTCGGGATAGTTGTAGATTAAAAAAAAAAAAAAAAGACAAATCTATTCCTGGGAGGCCAACTTAATTATATTAGTAGCCTGGTTTTGGTATTCCGTATCATTTCTTACTGCACCTCAGAATGTGGTTGATTTCTAAGGATTTGGTGGAAAGGGAGATAAAATTAGGAGGAGTGGAACTTTGCTAGCTTACCAACCTGATGCCATATGTTATCTTGCATCCCTACCCCATATTTAGGGGAATAACACTCATATTAATTTAAGTGGGTTCGAAGTTAAGTGTGCCACACCTCTCAAAAATCCTTTGGTAATTATTGTTCAAATTGTAGTCCAAGTAATTCTCTGATTACAGAAGAATCGGTCTTCCTGAGAGCAGGAGGCTCAGGTTAGAGAACAAAGACTCAAGGGTCAGAGGAAGCAATAAATAGAAAAACCTGTCCCCTCACCTGGTTGGAATTGACTTTATAGTTATGGAAACTGGCAATCTTCTTGCCCAGAAACACGAGCAGTGAGGAGCTCACAAAAGCTAAGGAAAAGGCTTCTAAAATAACTTCCGGAAGAATG